AGCCGCTGCACTTGTAACCAGATCTGTCAGGCTGATTTGGTTTCACTTTGCTTCTCTTAGGAACCAGCACCCAGCCTGGAAGAGGAGGATCTAGGATAACTCCAGGCTTTCCAGAGGGAGTCTGGGGGTGGGAGGACTGGCTCCTTCCCCAGGGCCTGTAGGAGCTTAAGTGTCAGAGGCAGGACCCCCAGGTGACAAGCTAGCTGGCTTGCAGCACTGGCCTACATTACTTCAGCCTCAGTTTCCTCAAAGCTTTCAAAGCAACTGATAATCTAGAAGGATTAAGTAAACCAACAGGTATGAAGCCCTACACAGGCAGAAGTGTCCACCGCCTGTGTGCTATATACCCTCATGCTGGGACTCTGGGCAAGCAGGTGTGGAGATTTCAAGCATAAACACCCAGAGTCACTACGGCTACTGTCACTCTGCTAAGCTCTAACAGGATCCATCACAGTGAGTGAGCATGGCCCCGCGCGAGCGCGCGCGCACACACACACACACACACACACACACACACACTCTCTCTCTCTCCTAATTCCAAAGACTCCAGAGTAGAATGTGGTCTAAGTCCTTTCCAAGTCCTAGGGGTCCCAGGACCTCCAGACCATACAAGCCCAGGTATACAGTCCATTTTCTCTTCCACCAACCCTGGACTTGCTTCTTCCCCTGGCCTTTGTTTGTGCAGGTACCACCTGGGCTTGAACTCCAGGATCTACGGCTTGAGTCACACCTCCACTTCTGGCCTTTGGGTAGTTAATTGGAGATGAGTCTTAGTCTCCTGCCTGGGGCTGGCTTCAAACAACCACCCTCACATCTCAGCCTCCAGAGTAGCGAGGATTAGGAGTGAATCACCAGGCAAGTTTCTCCAGTGCTCTTTACCCTTTGACCCTGATGCAGGAGGGAAAAGCCAGGCCTCTAAGCAGGCAGGACTTAAGCTCCTATAGATTCTGTTTGATAAGAGAAGATAAAGGTAAAGAGATAACTCCGAAATCTGAGAGACCCAGGGTGCTCCCCTCCCCCTTACAAACAAAGCACTCAATTTTAGTGACTCCTCTGCGTCTACCTAGTTAGTCCAGAGAGGACTCTACTCAGGGCACCCCAGGCTGCTAAGCACCTTTGGACTCTCTTAGGCTCTTCCCTCATTGGACGAAGTTGTCAACTTCCCTATGGAGGTTTGGGTGCTCCAGAGCCAGAGGCAAGCAACACAGTCAGGAAAGGAGAGGGTTACAGGAGCAGAGCCTGAGGGAGAAGCCTGAAGGGCAGAGGAGGAGGCGGCATGGGGAAGAGAAGCTGGGACAACAAAGCTGGCTTCCTTGTCACAAGTGGGACATTTTGCACCTCACTCCAGACCAAATCCAGTTACTGCAGGACACCCATGAAGAGAGAAGGCAGAGACCACAGGGAGCTGGAGGCCACTCCCGCTGGCCTCATGGGTCACCCCAGTGGCTGAGCCCCAGGATGACCAAGAGTCACTCTGGCTCAAGACTGTGGCCTTGCAAACACCATAAGCCCTGACAAAAATGAGCAAGGGAGAAACATCAGGTGTATACATTCACCATACCCCCCAAACCATTTCACTTGAGCCCCAAAAGGGAGCTCATTCTTCAGGCTGGCAGGCAGAGTCCTGTTCCAAGCAAAGGAAGGCTCTAGATGCCAATGCTGCCACTCTGGCATGGGGCCGGAGCAACATGCTGGCAGTGCGGGGGGGGGGGGGACGGAGGGGGGGGGACTCTAATGACTGCCAGCTGGCAAGAAGCCCAAGAGTCCTCCAGGAGGTGGCTGTAAGCTGGGGCTCAGGGGCATGTAGGAAGCAAGTGGCTGTATTTCCTCCACAGTGCACAGGGCACACAGGCCTACGCGCAGCCAGCTCTCCAGTCCCTTCCAGAACCACTGTCCAGGTCCCTCTCAAAGAAGGAGGACCCCAGCCTTCTAAGGAGCACTTTGGAGGTTACCTGCTGCGGTTAGTGATCTCGATCCTCTGCTGGATTACTTCATGGAGTCCCCTCCCGGCTCCAGGATTTGACCCTTTTTCCCAAAGCCGAGAGAAAGCTTCCAGTACACAGGGTAGAAGACCTAAGTGTGGCTTGGGTCAGCTCTCTGGGTTCCCAGGGTGTGATTGCTCAACCCTGGCTCTCCACCCCAGCCTTATCAACAGCATCAGCCTGTTGTCCTGTCGTTCACCCCCCCCCCCCCCACCAAGGGACACACTCTCCCTCCCCCACTGGGACAAGCGCCTCCAAGGCTCCTCAACAGGATTCCAGTTCCTGCTCTACTGCCATCCAGGATGCTAGCTTCAGACCCTCCCAAACTCCCATCCAGGGCCAAGTTGGTTGGGGACAGGGATAAAGGGAAAGGTCAGCATCATCCAACTTGCCTGCCCAGCTGGGCACAGCCAGTCCCAGCAGTGGAGATCAATCAGCCACTCCAAAGGGGAAGGCACCCGACCCCCTGAACCCGAGCCCAACCCAAGGCTCTTTCTCTCTGACTTGGAACAGAAGAATCTAGGATTCTGCTCCCAGATTAACACTGGCCAATTCACCTCTGGCTTCCTAGCTAGATAACTCTCCAGCTTCCTGGTTCCAGGCCTGGCCTGTCAGTCCCAAGAGGCAAGAGATGCAGGCTGGGTGTACAACAGGCTGGGACAGGCACTGGGGGATGCAGGGAGGACATTGGGGGGGAGAGGCAGAAATAGAAGAAATGTTCAAAGAGTGTGAGCAGTAAGACCTGAGCACCAACCCTGTGAACCCCAGAAGATACTGGATGTTGAGACACCTCAAATCTCTACTTTCTCACAGCAATCTCACAGATCACCAGGACCCCTGGGAAGATTCCCTCCTGATGGCCAGGGTTTCTCCTCTAGGCAGTAGCTACTACCTGAAGGGAGGGGCCAAGTCCAAGTTCAGAGATAAACCACAGTAATCGGTGACGTGGGTGAAGGACGGAGGGCTATTCACCAGGTACCCACTCTCGGCAGAGTTCCAGATATCCAGCAGGGATGGCACCTCACAAGATCCTAGTGGGAGCTCCAAATAGCCTTGGGGGGAGGGGTGTCACACGCTCCTGGGGGCTGGCAGAGGGTCTGGCTCTGCTCCAACACACCCCTATTCTGGGAGAGAGCCTCAGCTCAGCTCCCCTTTCCTTTGTGCCCTGTTCTTTGTTCTCTTAAAATTCAGCCCATCCTGCTGGTGGTCCCCTCCTCCAGCCCTGCCTCAGAAAGAGGGCGGGAGCTGCCGTTGAGTTATTACAAATGCAGACTGCAGGGAAGTTGTAAGACAGAGAGGCACCTACACACGGCCCCTCGGGTGTTTACACTCGGGGGTGTGTGTGTGTGTGTGTGTGTGTGTGTGTGTGTGTGTGTGTGTGTGTGTGTGTGTGTGTGTGTGTGTGTGTGTGTGTGTGTGTGTGTGTGTGTGTGTGTGTGTGTGTGTGTGTGTGTGTGTGTGTGTGTGTAGGGGCTTTCTCTGGTCCAGATGGCTGCTGGGAGGCAGGGGAGAGATGTTAAGGATGGGGACATTCTCCATGTAGTTCCCCAACCCCTTCTAGAGAGGGCAAGGGGGCTCCCCAGTCAAGCCACCCCCAAGGACTCTCTTCCTTACTCAGTGGCGGCTGTGGACCCACCTGGGGCCATGGGAGCTGGTCAGATTTCTAGAGATCTGTATGGGGGGGGGGGGGGAATGGGGTAGGACACAAGTTCCCAGAAGAGGAGAAAAGACAGCATTGTATCCACTCCCCGCTTCATTTTCCCAGGGAGAAAAAAAAAAAAAAAGAAAACTTCCAAAACCCAGGCCGCCTATGGCATTGGGCAAACACAAGAACCTGGTTTGAGTTAGCAAAGAGCACCTCCTCCCCCCACTCTCTCCTCTCTCTCTCTCTCTCTCTCTCTCTCTCTCTCTCACACACACACACACACACACACACACACACACACACACACACTTAACTCTTCTCCCAGGAAGCCTTCCAGGCCCAGGCACTCACCCGCAGCGACCAGGATCCCCTCCCCAGCAGGCAGGGCAGTTCCTGGGGTTCCCACCCCGGGTAACGGGGGCAAGGCCGAACCAAAGAGGGGGGGGCGCCGCGGGGGGCGGGAGAGGAAGGAGCCGGGGCCCACGATCCTAGCGCCCAGGTCGCCAGCCCGGTGGTTCAATCATTAACCGATCGCTCCCGGGCCAGCGACCCCGCCGCGCGTGCGGGGCTCCGGGCATGCCCTCCAGGACCCCGGTGCGGGGCAAAGCCATCAGCGGTCTGCCCAGCTCCAAGGGGTGGGGTGGGGGGATCTCCAGCTCCGCGGAGCCGCACCTCGACGCGAGGAGTCTGGGCCTCGGCCTCCGCGTCTTCCCCGGGAGGCGGGCGGGGAGGCCCAAGGGGGGGAGATACTCTTCCGGTCCCCAAGGCGCCTTTCCCTTCTTTCCCCCGGGCCGGCCGGCCGGTGACCCCAGGCGGCGGGTGCTGCAGGGCGGGTACCGAGCGAGAGTACCCGCTCCCGCCGCCACAGGCGAACCATTCGGCTCTTATTCCCGAAAACTCCGCGCGCACACCTCTCCGGAGGCCGCCCACAGCCGCTCACACCCCATTCCTGGGCTGGGGGTGTGGGGAGGACCGTCAAAACCTGCACCCCACCCCGAGCCACACGGCGCCCGCGTCCAGCCCGGGGGATCCCAGGCTGGGGAACGGAAATCGAGTCCCGGCGACTCTGCGCCCGGGTGGCCGCCAACCTCTTTTTTCTGGGACACGGTGTGTGGATCCGGATCCCGGGTCCCCGAGGCGCCCCCCTCCAGGCGTCCCCGGTCCCCGTTTCCTCCCAGAGAAGCACTGGGAGACGGGGCGCCCCAGGGTGTGTGTGTGGGGGGTGCCTCTGCGCCCTACTCCTCGGCCCGCTGCCCCCCTCACCCCCATCCTCGGCTCTTTGAATCCGATCCACCGCCCAGGGGGTCTCGAGCGCGCCCACTCCTCCCCGGCCTCACGCGTCTTTACGCGCAGCAGCGACGGCCGGCGCCTACCTGGGTCCCCGGCTCCCCGAGCGCGCGGCGGGCGCGGCGGCGCGCTCCCCTCGGTGGGCTTGGCGGGGCCGGCCGCCCATGTCAGCGCCCGCGTTTGTTTCCCTCCCGCTCTCGGTCTCCGGGTTTGGGGTGCCGCCTGGACACGCCCCTTCCCGGCCCGGCCCCGCCCCCTGCCCCCCCTCCCCCGCGCGGATGTCACGCCGCCGCCGCCGCAGCCAATGGTGGCCACGAACTCCGGCCCGGCCCGCTCGGCCTGCGGCGTTCAAATCTGACACTCTGGGAGCTCGGTGCGGGGCCGCTAGGGCGGGACAGGCTTCCGGGCGCCACCCCACCCCCTTCCCTGAGCCCCGAGTCGCGAACCCCCCGTGTGAGGGGCTCCCCAGAGCCCGGGGCGCGAGCCTCCTTCCGCGTCGCCGTCCCCATTTTGAACAATGACACCAAACCCTAGCCCAGGTGGCGTTTCTAGCTCCCGCTCCGCCCCACACCCCCGGCAGGACCAGCCACCCACCTCCACGCCTCACGATCGGCCACACGTGGCGTGGATTCCGTCCCGAATTCTTACTGGAAATTGAGAGGTTTGGGAGAGCCTGCCAGTCCAGAGGCCAGGCGGGGGACAGGGCGTGGAGAGGGTTTGGGGAGGGCGATCCGTCTTCCATCGCCCTGCACACCCAAGTCTTTGTCCAAAGTACCCTCTGGGGCTACGATTTGCTTAAGTGAACGCCAGGAGCAATTAAATCCAGAGTCCCACCGCCTGGTCCAACGAGAAGCAGGAAATTTGGGCTCTCTTTTTTGGAGGAAACAATTCCCAGCGGTGATTGATCCGAGCCAAAGTAATAAATATTCAGCAAAAGGAAAGTGGAACCCGCGCAGTGAAAGTTCTTTGGCCGTTAGCGGCTCTAAGGAAGTGGGAGGGTGGAGATGGCCGAGGTTCCAGCCCTTCCCCCCCCCCCCCCACCGCGAGGCCTCAGGGTCCCACAGCCAGGCCCCTCCTCTTCAGCTTCCTCTGAAAGCCCTCAGGACTCCACTTCCCCCTTTCCCTCGGCCCCTAGTGCTGTAATGGTGCAGCCACTCCCTGCTACAGTGGAAATCAAATCCAAAATGAGGACCTGGTGCTGGGAGGAGGGCTAGCTCCGTGCTAGAGCACTTGCTTAGCATGCCTGAAGCCTTGGGTTCAAGTCCCACCACCACCAATACAAAGACTATCAAAATTCTACATGAGGACTGGAAATGGAGCCATTTCGGAGCCAGAAACGATAGGTTTCCGGCCGGACTTCACTCTCCCTCCGCATTCACCCCCCTCCATATTCAGGCTCTTTCCTGGGTGCTAACAGCCTGGGTGGTTTCTTCCTCTCCTGGCTCACTGGGAGGGGGTCCAGATGCACCAGATACTAGGTGTAAAAGGATTTTGTGAAAAGGGTTTTGTGGGCAGCTGGGAAATGGAATAGGTTGTTCTTATGACGGGGAGAGGAATAGTGTGGATTGGAGATGATTGGATTCACCTTTGACTTAAAATTCCAACATTAGAGTTAAAAGCCTAAAGAAAGCACCAGGTGGTCCAATTACATTTTTTGATTCTTTAGCCACCAACCTGGGGCTTTACCTCAGGCTATTTTAGATTTGTTTCACTCAAGGCTGGCACTGTACCACTCGAGCCACAGCTCCACTTCCATCTTTTTGCTGGTTAACTAGAGATATGAATGGATTTGTCTATTGGGGCTGGCTTCGAACCTCAATCTCACATGTCAGCCTCCTGAGTAGCAAGGAATATGGCTAGTTTTTGCAGCATCCAATTAGCCTCTTGGTTCTTTAGCTATTGGTGATTTTGTTCCTCCCCAGCCCCTCCAACCCAACCCAGGAGGAGACAGCAGCCCATTCCGGTGGGGAAGAGAGCACTGAGTCCTCTCCTGATCGCAGGGGACCGTCTTTTCCCTCCAGGTGATGTAGGGGAGTGACTCTTGTCCCCAGGTCTCTGCAGTCTGGCCCGGTGCTCAGCTTTGCCGGGAAGCAGATGCTGGCTCCCGGGTGGGCCATCTCTAGCTTTTAGCTGAGGTTGTTTTCCTTTCCTCTGTTGTCTTGGGTTTGGTCTTTCACTTTAGATTTTTATCAATTAAGCCTTTTCCCTCCTCCCCCCCTCCCCCACCAAGTCTTCAGAGTCCTTTGTAATTCCTTAGCCCCTCATTCAAATTCAAGCACCTTTCACAAATATTTAACTTTAGCTGGGGTTGACCTTTAGGGTCACGGACAATCAAGCCAGGACCTCCTTGTAGAATGGAAACTTGGCTGTCCAAGGGTGGAGTACTTGCTGCTGTCTTTTGGACTCCTGGAACTAAAGGGGATGGGGCTTCAGTAAAAGGGACAGTTCATTTCCCCTGCTCTTGTGGGCTTGGCTCCAAAGCTTTCCTGCCACGTGGGATGGGTAATCAGAGGAAATTAACCAGGTGAAGAACTGGAAGCTTGAATACCTACCTGAAATTTTCTGGTGAGCTCTAAGCCCCAGACTGTGGGGAAGGATTTGAGGTCTTAAGTGCACCCTTGATATAACCTGACCTATAATCCTTTAGGCCTGGGTGTGTCTCTACCTGTCACGTTGCTGCTGGGGCCTGCCTTTGGGACCTGGGCATGCATAATCCATGCAGTTTTGTGGGCCAACCTCCCCCCTTCCCTGACTAATTCCCAGTGTTTGTTAAGAACAGAATTTTAGTTCATGTTATTTTACCCAGTTCTAAGTGGGTTGACTAATTCCATTTCCTTACAGACACCTCTCATTTTACTAGTGCTTGCCAGAATGTATGGCTCTGGGCAGATCATATTCTCCCCCACCCTTATTATTATTATTTTTCTAGTGGGGATCTAACCCCAGCCCTGCATGTGCTAGGTAAGGGGCTGGGCCACAAGGCTCCTCCCACTGGTCCTTAGTTCACATTTTGCTACAGCCTGATTTCTAAAGCCCCTTCCTGTGAGAGCCCTATGTCTTAATGTCTTTATCCTGAGCCCCCTCCCCTACATGAGACAGAGATGGTTGTGGAACGGATATCTTGAAGTGTCACCAGGGCCCAAAATCGGTAGTTTGGGGGTGGAGCTTGGTGACCCAAGTCTGGAACCCTAAATTGGGGCCTCGCCCAGTGCTGACTCATTTCTTGCCTCAGGGCCAAGGGCTTTTACTCCTTAGGTTCCCTATTCTGGGGAACCACCTGGAGTCCTTCCACCAGGGCTGGGCCAATCTCTGCTGAGCTCCTAGAGAGCTCCTGGGGCTCAGAGTAAGGCCTGTTCCCTCTTGGGGGTGGGGGAAGGATGAGGAGGGAGGGGAGCACCCTATCTGGGAGGCTTTTGCCCTAGCCTCTAAGTCCAGGAGTCCCACCCTCTGAGGGAGACCAGACCCAACAGGGCTGTAGGGGCCAGGGCACCTGGAGAACAAGGCAGCAGATGTCCCTGGGGCTCCTTGGGGACCGGAGAGTGTCTCGGTCACATTTGTAGTACAGTCAAGGTTTTGGCTTCTGGGCACCATGGCTCCTCTGTGTCTCTGTCAGAGAACAGGCATATGGCCTGGCCTCTACCATACTCACCTCAGAGCCCTGTCTGTGACTGCATATGGTCACTTATCAGGCTGCCCCTCACCATTGAGCTGGGGCACTTCTAGTAAAGAGGAAGGAGAGCTGGGTGCTGGTGGCTCCTGCCTGTAATCCTAGCTACTCAGGAGGCTGAGATCTGAGGATCACAGTTCAAAGCCAGCCTGGGCAAGAAAGTCCCTGAGACTTATCTCCAATAAATCACTAGAAAACCGGAAGTGGCACTGTGGCTCAAGAAGTAGAGTGCTTGCCTTGAGCTGAAGAACTGAGGGAAAGAGCCCCAGCCCAGAGTTCAAGCCCCACAACCAAAAAAAAAGAGGAGGGGGGTACTCAATTTCCTGTCCATTCACGAGGAGGAAGAGAACGGAAGAAGGATAAAGCCAAAGCTCTGAGGTCCTGAGAAATCAGCACACAGTTCAACTGAAGACAGGCTGTGTTTGTGTGTGTGTGTGTGTGTGTGCGCGCGCACATGCATATGCACGCACGCACGTGCATGTGTGTGCTTACAGGACACTGGGGCTTGAATTCAAGGCCTGGATGCTCTCCCTTAGGTTTTTGCTCAAGTTTGGCACTTTGCCATTTGAGCCACATTCCACTCCTGGCTTTTTACTGGTAAATTGGCATTAAGAATCTTGTGGATAGCCGGGCGCTGGTGGCTCACGCCTGTAATCCTAGCTACTCAGGAGGCTGAGATCTGAGGATCGCAGTTCAAAGCCAGCCCGGGCAGGAGAGACCCTGAGACTCCTATCTCCAATAAACCACCAGAAAACCGGAAGTGGCGCTGTAGCTCAAGTGGTAGAGCGCTCGCCTTGAGCTGAAGAGCTGAGGGACAGCGCCCAGGCCCAGAATTCAAGCCCCAACGACGGACAAAAAAAAAAAAAAAATAGAATCTTGTGGATGGGCTGGGAAGGTGGCTCAGTGGCAGAGCGCTTGCCTTGCATGCCTGAGGCCCTGGGTTTGATTCCTCAGCACCACATAAGCAAAAAGAAAAAAAGCCAGAAGTGACGCTGTGGCTCAAGTAGTAGAGTACTAGCCTTGAGCTGAAGAGCTGAGGGACAGCGCCCAGGCCCAGAGTTTAGGCCCCATGACCGGACCCAAAAAAAAAAAAAAAAAAAGAATCTTGTGGACTTTGGCCATGACCCTTGATCCCAGCCTCTGAGTAGCTAGAATTACAGGGGCATGAGCCTAGTAAGACAGCAAGTCTTGGAAGTAGTTTCTCTCCACACCCCCCTCCCGCCACAATGGCGGGTTCTGTATGAACTTGGGTCTCTAGTGAGCTTCAGCCAGAAGTCAGATGAGCCAGCCCTGCTAAACACTGGCCCCATCCTGATGCCACCAACTCCACAGGCCTCGAGGAGTGGCCTGGTGATCCTGGGTTTGAATGCCTACTGTCATTTGAATGGGGACTGAGGGGTTGAGCTGGGCAGGCTCAGTTTTCTCATTCCTGTAAAGACCACATGGGTTCCCACCTCCTGTGAGGTCATAGGTCAGCATGGAGCTCAGGTCACAGGGAGGTGGGCTCACT